CCCCTCATTCACAATAATATGATTTTTTGTTGCTTGATGCCTGATACCTGATCCCTTCGACACCTTGTGATCACACAGGCTGGTGTGCTTCTTCCATGTGGGCTTTGTTGCTTCTTGACAGAATTTCTTGGTGCATAGGTCCATCCACCACTCAGGAATTTCTTACTTAGACAAATAATGGATGACTATTGTAAAGTTTTATATACTTATTACCAGTTTTTGAAAATCATTTTATTGGGGGCTCGTACAGCTCTTACCACAATCCATACGTACATCCATTGTGTCAAGCACATTTGTACATATGTTGCCATCATTTTCAAATTATTACCAGTTTTAACCATTGTAAGCACATGACCAAATTTGTTTCAACCATCTGCTTAACTCTGGAAGCATATCTAATCTTTTAGTTGTATCTCTGAAAGTTAAATATTTCTTTTTTAAAAAATCCACAGAAATGTGGCATAAAACACAATCTTATAGTTATGAGTATTAACAATTTCTTAAATATCACCAGTATTCATAATACCCTGATTTTTTGTTGAAAATATACACAGCAAACTCAGACCAAACTCCATTGCTGTTGAGTCATAGCAACGTTGTAAGACCTAGTAGAACTGCCCCATAGGGCCTCTAAGGCTGTGGATCTTTATGGAAGCTGACTGCCACATATTTCACCCTCAGAGAAGCTAGTAAATAGGTTATAACCAATAATGTTTCAGTTGATTAGTAACCAAGCTCTTTAACTACTGTGCCACCAGGGGTCCTTATACACAGAACATAAACCATTTCTATAGTTTCTACACATACAATTTAGTGACATTATTACATTTTGTTCCTGTCTGATCAACATGTTCCTTAAGGTTCCTATATAATCTTTTGGGTTGCACTCGTCAATTTGACCCCATATAGATAGATCTTAAAAACAAAACCAAACCTTAAAGCCTCCCTTTCATCCAGTGCACTTTGACTCCTGGTGACCCTATGCAACAGAGTAGAACTGCTTTTGTGTTCAGTAATAGTAACTGGACACCATGCAATTCTTCTGATCTCATGGCAAAGGAACCTCTTGTCATGGAGGCAGTTATTCATTCACTCATTCCATATCCTCCTCCTAGTCTTGACTCTGTTGCACTAGGTGAATAGAGATCAGTTGTGCCTTGGATGGCCGTTTTATATGTATATATACACATATATGTGAGCTTTTAGTTTTCTTTCTTTTTTAAATCATTTTATTGGAGGCTTGTACAACTTTTACACAATCCATACATCCATCCATTGTGTCAAACACATTTGTACATTTGTTGCTTGTTTAGTTGTATTTACAATTGATTTATTCAGGCCAGAATTATAAAAGTCCATTCTTTAGAGGAAATACAAAAGCATATATACACACGTTTATTTTTTCATTCACTCCTTCTTCTCTTGGTTTTTAACTTATGAATGGAAAAAAAATCATTCTGAGGGGAGTTATTTATTGCTCTTTATTTTTATAGAAAGTGTTTCTTATTTATAAAGTTTCTCATGGATGTTACAAAATTTTCAGCAGACACTAGAGGCTGTATTAAAGATTGGCAGTGTAGAAGCAGTACTTCCCCCCGCTTCTCTCACCCAAAACATACAACTAAAAGCAAAAGCAAAAAGCTAATCTGTAGTCTGTATTTTAGTTTTGGTTCATGTTGAAGGTAAAATTATGACAAATATGACTGAAAGCACCCACACTTTATCATGTGCTAATGGAAGTTTTGTTCTTTATTTTTTGATGCTTCAAGGAATTATTTAGTTGAGTGGCTTTCAAATTGTATCTAAAGAAATCTAGGGTTTTGCAGAGGTTGATCAGAATTGCTTGGCGTTTTAACAGAAATGGGCGGGGAGCGGCCAGGGGAGCTGAGAAATTACACAGCTTTTCTAGGTAGTTTGCTTTTAACCTTTGTATATTTAAATAGTACTTGCTTCAAGGCTATTTTGAATATAGGCACTCCCTGGATTATGATATTCCTAAGCCTGTCCTTAAGTTTAACTTTATGTTAAGTTGGAACAGTTAGGTACAAAATAACCAAAACACAGCTATTGAATTAATTCCAACTCAGAGCACTTTATAGGCTGGAGTAGAACTGTCCCTTTGGGTTTCAGAGGCTTTAACTCTTTCTGGGAGCAGATAGTCTCTTTTATTTATTTTTTGGTGGAGTTACTGGAGGTTTCACCCTGCTGACCTTTAAATAAAAACCCCGTTGCCTGTTGGACATGGGTCCACTGTGCCATTTTGGTTCCTTACAATTAGGTTCAGTTGTAGCTAATATCAGTCACTCGAATGTTTGTCTTAGTATATAGTATAGATAGTATACCTTTAAACACTAGATACAGACATTAATGAGACTTTTTCTAGCTGTTTGGCTACCTTTAATGTTTGTTTTACATGTGCTTGAAACGTTTGAGAATTAACAGGGACAGTTTGAAACATCTGTGGGCATGTTAACTCTTGACATGGTACCTACTTCCTTTTTTCTCCTTCCTCCTCATTTTCTTTAATGCAATAGATGCATTTATTAACATCTGTTAAAACACACATACACAAAACTGATTTTAATTGTGAGTCTCATTCTTTGGGAAACTTTGTGGTAGTGTATTATCCCATTCATTTACATATTGCATTGGGTAAATCTGCTGCACAAGGCCTCTTTACAGCAAGGATAATACTTGGAGGCTTAAGGTGCACCTAACCCAAGCGATGGTATTTTCATTCATCCCAGATGCAGTGGAAAAGAGGAAGACCCTCAACAACATGGATGGACACAGGGACTGCAACAAGGGGCTCAAGCATAGGAATAATTGTGAGGATGGTGCAGGACCAGGCAGTGTCGGATGCATAGTCTTTATGGGCTGAAACTGACTCG